CTATATATATAAGATAATCAATGCCCATTGCTGCGTTATTTGTTGAAATGCAATATAATGGCATGAAATAAAAATTCAAATACGGAATCATTTCGTACACAGCGATTGATCCTACTGGAAAACATTCTAAATAAGACAACGTTATCTAAGTTTACGAAAAATCGAATCGTGAAAAGAAAGGTCGATATATGCCTTTCAGTACTGTCCTGATGCAGGAGGGTAAAATAGATTTAATTGGAATAGTGTCACGATATTTTTTATGAGATAAAAACGTACGCGAAAATTCAAACGTTTCCTCCATCTGTCGTGGGAAATAAGAAGTTTCTATCAGCGCCCTCTATGTATTTCCATCGATACGAAAATGCGCTTAACGCGACGATATTGCACATCGTCATGGATAGTGCAGTTTCGTTCTCGCATGTGCAACTGCACGACTTCGTAATGAACAGCGCACTTTCGTCTTTCTAGAAGCAATTCCATCTCGCTGATCCTCACTCCAGGGTGAGGATTAGCCTCTGGCTCAACTACCAAAACATGGTCGGATTAAGGTTTAGTGAGCCCCCTGGCAAAACACGCCTCACCCTAGGACCAATCTTCCGAAGGATTGCAAAGGTGACCAAAGATGAAATCTTGTCGTTTCCTTATCTCCTTATCTACATGTTCATTCCTCTTGGTACATACCACCGGGTTTTCCTCCTTAGAGGTGCGGGATTGACTACTTGTATTTTTTTCATTAAAATGAGCTAATGAAAGCGAGGGTTCATATTCAAAAATATTTCATGGCCCTATCACAATCATTGCGTCAACAATTGTAGCAATTATCCCGACGGAATTTCGAAAATACCAAAGCACCTACTTACACCAAAACTCCCAACCCCGCTCGGTGGGGGGTGGATACTAATCCCCTGGGCCGACTGAATTGTGGTTCTCACTTTTAAAAGTACCCGGTTTGTGAACACCACCATAATATATGCATTCCTTAGGCGTTAATGAAGCGATAGGCACAGCCTGCGAATATGTACCTAAAACAATCGTGTGTGGCACCCCCCCCCCCCCCCCCCCCTCCACACACATGCCACTATCTACGTCTTCGTCCTCTTTCCGGTCTTCCTCTTCGTTCTCGTCAGTCAGGTGCTGGAAGAGCTCGAACACGTCTCAGGCCGATCAATGACAATGTATCCGAACTGATGAAGGAGTTCCATGGGATTAGATCCTGGAACGAGAATTTACTGGCACGATGCCAATGTGGCTTGTGTACATCCCATCTTTATTTTTGACTCATCCGGCCATTAGAGTTCTCGAATAAATCAGGCATCCCCTTATTTCTGAATAGTTTCCCACCCTATTTGACAATGCATTTCTAGGCGCAACCTAATTATGCGGCCGATAACGAAGAATACGACAAGAGCTTCCATGGTCAGAGACGAATACGATCGACCGTATTTGCAGAAGCTCACGAGCCCCTGCCGTCGTGCAGACCGAGTCGATCGAGGCAAGGATACTTTTTTCTAGGGGTTTCGACCTTTGGATACTCGGCATGTATACATTCCGCAGTCTGAAGAGGTTTTTAGAAAAACCTCTGTGAAGTGGATTTCGACCGACGAACGCATCTCGAAACTCTTGAGCGTCTGTCTCCTCGCGAGGAGATAAGAGATAAGAGATAATTCACGTTAATTGAGTCGGATATTCAAGCCCTGAAGGAGTCGTAGAACCAGCACAGTGTTTTCCGTAGGGGAAAGATCGCGCCACTCGTGAAAATCGCCAAAATGCGCGTCTGGATGGACAGTGACCGTCAGTGGACTTGCCAAGGGAATTTTTTATAATTTAAGCTGGGACGATGCCTAAGGGAGAAGGTTGCCTACCGAAAATTTATTTTTTATTTTGTTTCGATGGCGTCTTGAAAAGCGGGCGAGAATTCTCCACTGCCGGCAGTTCTGGAAAGGAACCCATCCGCTTCAGAGGATCGCAGAAGGAAATGTGGAACGAGGAAAAGGACAACAATTCGAGGAACAATCGAGTGCAAATGCATCAGACGGGCTTCGCGTGGAAACCGGTCGGGACAGAGCTCGACCGATTTTTTTTCTTAACCCTGAATTCTCAAAACATGCAACAAGAAAAACAAAGCGGAACGGTTCATGATTCCTCACGAGGGGTGCGGAGTGGGTCTTCCCATTTAAACTCGAATTTTCAAGGTCATTTTCAAAGTCTGATGAGGTCGCGGTGGTCGTGCGAGCGGAGCTACTGGGCTGGGGCTGGACTAGACTGGATCTGTGCTGGGTTGGGACGGGACTGGGCCGGACCTGTGCCGAACTGTCCCTCGTTTTCCGCTCTTTTCTCCTTTTTGCTTTGCTGCTCACGTGCATTTGTCAGCGAACTTCAACGGATGGTACAAAACCTCCGAAGTTTATTTTCGTGAAAAAATCAGATGATTCCAATCGCGTTCCCTGACGTAAAGGCCGCCGTCAAAAAGAAATGGGCGAACATAAACCTGACGATGTACCTGGCTCTCCCCCGAACGATCCAGGTTTCCAGGAGCGAAGTGAGATAACGCACTGATCGCGGCTGCAGAAGTCGACATGCCTCGTTATTAGCTCCTAGAAACGAGAATCGGTTCGTTTCCCCGCTTCCGTTTTTCACGGATGACGCGGAGATGAATTTCCGCCGATTTTCGAACAAATAATTGCCAGGGAATCCATCCGAGTGTTCTTTCTGACTCTCCACCGTGCGCGTAAAGGGCTCAGCCGAAAAGGGCTCAGCCGAAAAGGGCTCAGCCTTTTCTCTATTTCATTTACATTCTACGCTGGTCGAGACCGATCTCTTGGCACAGGTGACGTCACTGAAAGGGAATGGACCCGTCTCCACTGGGTTCTAACGTAATCCTATATTCCACTGCACATCCTTCTTCGCGCATTATTTAGATTTGCATCCTTTTACTTCTTGATATTCGCAAAATGTCAAAATTATTCGCCACTACCAAGACTTTAAGATTCTCCTCACCAAGGAAATGCGAATTGTAACGCAACGTAGTCCGCCATGTCGTATTTGGTTGCTCACCAGCAGGTCAGATGCTGGATTTTAAAAATGTAATGCGTTACCGCTCATTAAAGTCTCGATGAGTCGATTCGAGACGAACCATCTAAGTGATCCTTAAAGTACGCACAAAAATGAGACGAATGAAGCAAGCGCAATTTGTATGGGAAAACCATTTCGAAGGAATCCGTTTTTGTCTGAGGGCGATGCAACCGGGACAGCCAGCGAAACGATAAGCCAGATACGAGGGAGTTGCGGAAAAGTCTTCTCCGATAACATATTTGTGTAGGCTGGCGTGCATGCCATCGCAGTTCTTCGTGCTTGATCGGTGACTTCCCTTTCCACTTCCCGTGAACCGGAAACGGTGGTGGAACTCGGAAAAAGAAGATGAAATTCCTTCTGCTCTTCGGAACCATCAACGCCTTCCTCGTCCCGTCGTGTAAGCCAGAGTCGTCTCTTTCAGGAGTCAAGGGAGTGGTTCGGGGGGGCCTGCTCCGTACTAGCAGAGCAAAACCTGAAAGATCTTAGAGCGAAACGTGAGCCACGAGGTCGGTTTGGATATGAAAGCTGCGACCGAAGGGAGATCGTAAAGTTTCTCCCCTTACGAAATTGCCTGATAAGATTCCAATACATTCCTTTAGGAATATTTATGAATCCTTTTGGAGCATATAGGAATCCTTTACGTTCCTATATGGTCTTTAGAAAACCCTATAGGTCCAACAGGGTTCTGTTTGGGACGTATATGGTTTACCTATAGGGACTCTGGGGAACACAATAAACCTATTGGGTTCCGTAGAGTCCCTATAGTTTGAAGTTCTCTTCTAGGTCACTAGATGGAGGTAACTGGTTCTCGCATTTCTCAAAGCATACAAAAGTGCTCTCCCCTTACCCATGGAACCATCTCTCACGAGAGAGTTTTGTAGATGCCCTAATGTCTCGCCTTGCCTCATTGTAGCAATCAATAAAAGTGGACACTTCCTTATTTGTCATCCCCATCTCCCAGATAGAATCATGGTGTCCAGACCTGAAATAAGCCCATATTCCCTTTGAAAACCACGTACGAGAAGTTGACTTTATTCGTAAGGAATTATTCTTAAGTAAACGTACTCGCAGGTTTTGTCTTCTGTTGCCTCAGGTCGAGAGAAGAATGATACTTCTCTCTACCGAAAAAAGCGGACACGCAATCCAGCGACATATTTCCTCAGTGACCATAATTTATGTAGGCTTGGTCAGTACCTGTATTACAAATGTATGTGTCTCTCCCATGGGAAAACTCCTCATCGGCAATTAATTTCCACCAGAGTGCTTCGCCAATATGAACCCCGGTCGCCTTTTCCGTCGTAATGCCTCGGTTTCGATAGCCAAAAAATCCTCCCCGAATCCTATAGGTCAGGAGTCCTATACGACCCTAATGGGATCCTATGGGATCCTATAGGATTCTATTGGTTTTTCGTGTTTCAAAAACCTATAGGAAAGTCTATAGGTTTCCTATATGAAATAACTATATGTTTCCTATAGGACATTTCCGTAAGGGGGAACAAATCTGTCCTTTGTGATCGAAATACATTTGGCTGACATTGCTATCGTGCCAGCTCTCGGCCTAAATCCACGAACAAAATTTAAAGTCACAGCATGGGTAACCCACCTTTTTCCTGACGGATCTATGGGTAATCGTGCGAATTCGACCGTTTCAGTTGTCTCCATTATACCCAATTCCAAATTTAATCAATTTTCCGAGTTCGCACTAATCACTGCAGTTGACAAAAATTTTTCGTGCAAAAGAGTAAATGGATGGATGGACTCAAACTCTTATCAGATTGGCAATGCAGCTATGTAGTTCTACAAAAAAAATACAACGGCCTTACTAGTCTGTTCCTCTGTCATTTTGCACCTCAGGACTTGCAGCTACAATATTTCACATTAAAGTTATGATGGCGCATGTCACACTTCAACACGAGATCAAGACTTTACGCGTTCCTTTTAGTTGCTCTCGCTTTAATTCCCCTTAAAATTATCCATGCTAAAACAATGACATGTTCCAAATCTGTTAGATGCTGATTGAGAAAAAACGTCTCTTCCCGAAAGGTTTCATTTGACGCAGTGAAAGAGTTTGTGAACGAAAACGGAACGACGCAGACGGAGGTGATCCCAGCCCGAGTCATTTACCTCAATCGCACAGACACATCGTACACCCTGCACGGACTGAGCCCCTTCACAACATACAGGGTGAACGTGAGTGCAATCCCACCCAAGAAGGATTATCGACCTCCTGCCAGCATCTATGTCACCACGGACATGCACGGTTTGGCCCGCCCCTCCTTCCATCCTTTTCTCACTCTTCAATTCAATATGTAACAGTATGTGGTACATTGACAGCCCCTCCTTCCCTCGCAACACCTAAGTTGTACGGCGTAACGGATTCAGGGACGATCATGGTCATTTTGCCTCAAGCATCGCAGGAATTTGGGCCGATATCGCACTATTTCCTGGTGGTGATCCCCGAGAGCCAAGTAGCAAATCTCACTGATCCAAACGCTTACCATCTTTCATACGATGTAAGATTTTGTCGTTATCGCCATACACGAAGCCCTTAAAAGTGAAAAGCTACTGATTGGCGGTAAATGTATGCGATGACCCATGCAGGCTGTGGAGACCTCGACCAGTCTCTTCACCGAACTTCCCCCCGAAAGTCGGCCATACATCGCGGCCAAGTTCATCGGTCAGGACGTCCCTTACATCTTTAATTTGGGAGACCATCAGACCTTCAATGGCTATCTCAACAGGCCCTTGTTTAAGAGCAGGCGCTACAAGGTCTTCCTTCGAGCCTATGTCGACAGTCCCAGCGAGGTTAGTCAAGGAAAAGGAGTGCTTCAACATGGGATGAATCCAATATGACTAGGTCACAAGAAATAACTAAGTCAGAGATATCGGGAAAAAAAATTTTCTTCCACTTCTGGTAAAAAAAAAAATTATAATGTTTTCTTGTTTCTTTTATTACCTGGAATTCTCATAGAGATTATGGTTTGCTTCCTGTTGAAAAATATTCGTTCATGAACTTCGTTTATTACTTTCAAGTTTCTCTTATTGCTACTCCTCAACTGAATTGTTTCCCCTGACTTACAGCAGGGGAGCTTGCTTTAAGAAGATCTCTGTTGGGAATGATCTTATAATGAGCGTCATTACACTGTAATGCCTAAACGATTATCCTCTCCCTCGCAGCCACATCTGTTTGGGACGAGCAACATGTCAAGCTTCCTGTCCTTGGACATGAACCCGATTCCGCCGGGTGCGATCCCAAGCGACCGCCTCATCTCGACTGCCACCGTTCTTCCGCCGGCTCAGAGCGGAGGATCCCTTTGGGTGATTGGACCTGTGACCTTGGCTTTGCTCCTCGCGTCTTCTCTCGCGGTCTTCATGTACGTGCGACGGCGGAGAACACTGCGGAGTGGACAGGGAGCATCGACTACATTTGAGCCGCTCGTCTCCTCTGATGCTCCGGTGGCGACGCCAGACCTGAACGAGTTGCATTGACTCATGTGACTGCGAAACGGAAATTCTGTGTGTCTCAAAATGGCAATTTACTCCAACTCTTTTGCAAAACATGAATTTTCTCAAATACGCATTTGCGAACAAAAGTGTTACTTCTTCCTCTCACTTACAGATTTTTAAAATATTTTTTTATTTCCAATATTGCATCTTCTAACCAAGATATATTTCAACTATATCAACTATATTCAAAATAAACAAAAGAGCTTTTGAGTAGAAATCACGATGATTGAGCTGTTGAAACTTGCCCTTCCATAATATTATTCCAGTTTGCACTTCAAGCCAACTCCCATAAATAAGGAACCTTCAAGTGAACCAAATAAAATTCGCATTTCATACTGAAATTAATTGAAATACTATGTTCGTAATAGTTTTTTATAGCTACAAAATGGCCTTGACTGGGAATGACGGTATGAAGGTAAGGAATGACGGTATGAAGGTAAGGAATGACGGTTTGAAGGTAAGGAATGACGGTTTGAAGGTAAGGAATGAATGGCTCTTCGTTGCCATTCAGAACCCAAGCCCAGACAGCTGAAAGCGCAATTCTCGAAAACATATTGCGCAACTTTACTGGAAAAAAGCATAGCATTTAATTGCACCGGAAAGCGTCAAACACGCAACAATAAATTTTTTTCCATACAATGAAAAATTTTCCCGAAAAAAATTTCCCTCGACAGGATCGGACTTGGCGGCAAAATGGCAGCTCTCTTCCTCCCAAAATTACCTAGACCCTGACAGTTGGCTAAACATGCTCATTGGGCCGCATGTGCGAAAAGGATTCTGTTTCCGAGTTTTTTTTCGCGATAAGGAAAGCTTCAAACGTAAAAAAAAAAATTAGAAAACGCAATTTTTGCCGAGACTCTTAGGAGGAATGGAATTTCCCCTCTCAGTGGATACGCCTTATGGAAGCCTTTCCTGCCAAAAGAAAAGAAACGTGGCACTCATGATACCCTGCAAGTGTATGTCTCTCTTCATCTTCTTCACACTGCTCTGTATTTGAAATCGAAGAGAGAAGCAGTCACTCGCTTCTAGGAAGGAAATGTTTTCCACCAGTCTGTTTATGCGAGGCGAGTGATCTACATGATAAGTTAGGAGAAGGTCGGATGCGTGTATGTGTGTATGTGTATGTATGTATGTGTATGTATGTATGTGTGTATGTGTATGCATGTATGTGTGTATGTGTATGTGTATGTATGTGTGGATTCGTATCCTGTGCTGGCAATCCAAGATTCAATGACAGTTGCACGTTGCGCAATTCCCAATCGGGAATATGCCTGATCATCATTAATTTTTCTTTAAATTTCTGATCTATCGAGAGTTTCTCGAAATATTTGTTTCGGAACTTGATAACTGACTGATCTGATAGTTAATTACATTAAGTAGACTCATGGTTCCCTTGTAAAAATCGGAGAATGGGAAGTCCAGTGGAAGGTATATTTAGGTGCACTATTTCTATTATTATTCTCAATTGTTTATATTACATTATTTCAATTCAAGTCTCAGTTCTCGTAGAAAGCATATATGTTTAGTCCATGAACGACTTTCACCCCGGTTTTCTAGACTCCCGCAGCCAATTTTTTCTTTCATGAGTTATTGTGGAGCCCCAGGCGACCGAGGTGAATTAGATGCACTTAATCACGTGGTCACCCGACATGGTCCGTCGCCATCGGGACTGGCTCGTGAGAGAGCGTTGCTGTTGGATCTGGTGGCTTCCGCTGCTACGGGGCCGAGAATATGCTTTGACACCTCGTGTTTCTCTTAGGAAACCTGCAGTCATTGCAATGAGACGCGTCCCGGTAATTAGTTGTAATCATGAGAATTGTGTGCAATTTTGAAAAACCTTGGCAAATGTTTGAAGTTATCTTCCGTATTCTCGTGATATGCCAAGACAAGGGGGGAGGGGTGGGAGATTGGCATCACTGTGGATGTTATTAGTTGAAAATCTTTCAACCTTGCCTAAGAAATATTTTTTCTATATCCGACCGAGAACTTTCGCTATCTGACAGTCATCGAAACTGGAGGGAAAGAGAGAAATAACAATTTAAACTTCCATTATGCCACGAGCTAACGCAATTAGTGCTCTCCCTCGTGCCAACTTTTCATTAGGGAGAATGCAGCCTGCAAAGTAGAAATCATCCGTAATTCTTTGAAGTTGTCTTGGAAACATCGGAAACGCAGCGGCTATGAACACTTAATAAGGCTCATCAGCATGTGTGGTGTTAAAAAGAAATCAAATCAAGCAGTTTTAAAAATGTTGAAAATCTAATTCTGGATGAATTCTCCGAGTTGGTTTTTGATGATCAAAAAATGGATTTTGAACAAACATTCTCCTCGGTCCCGATGGGAATGTGAAATTCATTTTGGATGAAGCCAGGACACACTCAGAAAGGTCCAACCATCCAAGGCAAATATTCCATGAAATTGCCGCCACTATATATTCCCTTTCTCCACGAGAAAAGAAGGAAGTGGAGGGGGTGGCATTCACACCAACGCCTCGAAATCCAAGGAATCCGTCCGATTTTCCCTTTTTCTAGGAGAGGTTCCCCCCGCCCCCAACCGAACAGTTTCTTTTTCAAGGAAAAGTTTTTTCATGACACTTCCAATGCTGTGAGGGGAATATTCGATGGATGAAACGACAAAAGCACTAATTTTCGTTTTCTGCGTTGCAATCCGTTTCAGTGCCAAAACTCGGTATCGCAATATAAAAAAAACTTTGCGACCTCATGGACTGAATTTTTTACTTTCACCTTTAGCGTGTACATTTACCACTTTGCTCGAGAGCCATTAAATTGACATTTGGATGGATCTCGGCTTCTGAGGCGAAACCCAAGCTTCTGTCAATCGATGGTAAAATTGGATGAAAAAAAAAAATATATTTTCAAAGAAAAAACTTAGGTGGGGGCAACGAAAGGATAAGAGGCGTGAAACCCAGAAGATCCCTCGCCCGGACAAAAGGAACTCGACCTCGAATGGGATTCCGGGTCATTTTCTTTTTCCTCGTTGGTGATACGCCACCGCTCATTTATTTTTTCGAGCGGTACATTTCATTCGATGCATTCGAGTCGATCGCAACGATGAGGAAACACCGTGACATGGAACCGACACGAGAAAGTGCACATAATGGAGCTTTATTCGCCTTCCGATCCCTCAGGCAAGCGGACCGAAGTCGACATGGAAGAAAAAAAGAAAACACAGCGAGCGGAATCATCGGACGACCCTCTCCACCGACGGGCAAAAACGAAAAACGACATCCCGCAACCCTGCCGCGTCCTCCGGTCCATCAGTTGGGAGACTCCGCCTCGCCGCGGAGCCACTGGCTGCATGCGTCGGCCGCCATCTCGCACATCGTCTGTTTCCAGTGCCCGTATTCATCTGCGGACGAAGACGACCGACGGTCAGTTGACGGCGGTCGTCGCCGACCGAAATGGTTCGTTCGGATCCTTTTTACATCAGATGCTCATTGATTTCATCGTGCTCCTTTCGCTCGTGGGGTTTAATTGCGTCATTCCTTGGAAATCTTTTCTTCCCTCGTCGTTCGCTCACCTGAGTAAGTCCGTTTCCCGAAGATGGAGCCGTTGAAGAGTTCGTTGAGCTTCCGCCGGTTGGCATCGGCCTGCTCCGCGAACAGGGATGCCAGCATCAGCGTCACGCACAGCAGAACCAGGCTTCGCTTCACCAGAGTCATCTGAACGGGTGGAAACGGGATACAAATTCGGATTCATCGTTTGCCATCTATTGCGGCAGATCGAAACGGACGAGATTCGCGTCTGATCGACAGATGTCGCCGTCGAGGCGATTCCACAGATGTCGAGCCATATTAAGCCAAACCACTTTTTTACGAGCCAAGTGCTTCAGAGCCAAAGATTTTCGAAAAAAATGTTTTTTCCTGAAGTTGGCAACAAACAGATGCATTGTATGCTACCTTAGAAGAGTGAGGGGCAGCCATGTTTTTTAGCACTGGCTCTTGAGCCAAACTTTTTGGCTCATGATCCATAGGTTCCCGACCTCTGCCTTAGTCCCTCATTGTTTTAGTCCCTACTTTAGGTCCTCCATTCCAAATTTTTCTCGGAATATGTTATTCGTAATTTGACCCTTCCTTCATTGGCCTTTGGTCCCTCATTGACCTTAATCTGGCCTTGCCCCGTTCCGGCAATTTCAAGACGCATCCAGAAAGCAAAACGTTGAAACGCGGATTTCCTGCTCTCGATACGCGTGCGTGCGAAACGAAGTCGTTTCCGCGCCATCTGCATCGACGCGGATTTCGAGTGAAAGACTCGAATTTCACTCGAATTTCACTCGAATTTCACTCGAATTTCACTCGAGTTTCACTCGAATTTTTCATCCAGCTGCAGGAGTGCAAGAAAAAATTTCGATCTAGGAAATTTAAAATAATATTTAAGCATGTTTTCCGCCACATCCGCCTTCGTCCGTCCGCGATGACCCCCCACCAGCCCCAAGAAACTCCCCTAAAACCCCGCCCCGTCCT